CCTGTGGAGAGGACCCTGCACGGTGTGTGTGTGGAGGAAGGTACCATGCCCAGCAGCAGTCCTGAGCTTGCTCCAACTAAACTTGCCTGGCTTTCCTTCTTATCCCATGTTCCTAGGCTCGTTGAGCCCCCAGCAGCAGTGGGATGGAGGAGGTCATCCCTGTATGATGCCTGTTGGGGTCTGCTGGAGCTCCTTGGCGTGGCTGGTGTCCCACGGGCCAGCCCGGGAAGCCATGGCTTTGTGATCTGGCAGCATTTGTCACCTTCCCATGTGGCTGCTCCTCCTGGAAGCCGAGGTGTGGGCTGCTGGGATGCCAGTGGGCCAGCATCTCTCTGCCTGTGGTTGCCCCAGGGTTCCCGGCCATCTTGGGTGTTTGGAGCTGCCGCTGGGTCTGTGCCTGGCCGTGTAAGGGTTGAATCGAAGGGGCTGACCTTCCCCGGGGAACATGCTGGTGTGGCTTGACCTCCTGCCTTGGCACAGCCTGGGGACGTGAGGGCTGCTATCTCTTCCTGAACCCCGGGCAGCCCCGCTGCATATTTCAAGGGATTATCATCTCTTGTCATCCCATTCCTCTTCCTCTCCCAGCAGATTGCCTCTGGGATGCCAGGGTGGCAGCCTGTGACGTCGGGCACTGGCCGAGTCCATGGCCCTTCCAGCAGGTCCCACTTGTACCTCCCTGATCACTGCTTCAGGTCCCGCTAGAGCTTTGCCCTGCGTGGGGATTAGCTCTCTCTGCTGGTGGGGTAGGGGCTGCCCATTCCACGGGGGTTGGAGGTCCCCACCAGTGCCCCCCCCAGCATAAGCTAAGGGAGAGGCTGCTTTCTAATCCCAGTCTCTCTGCTCCGGCATCCCACTGCCAACAGTGCTCTCCTTGTTTACCCAACTCGGAGGAATCGGTTTACAAGGCTCACAAATACCCTTTTCACCTTTCCCATCAGAAAACACCTCCCGAAACAATGAGGAAATTGGATGCTGCCACCTGATCGCTCCCAAGGAACCTGCGGGCTGGGGGCCGGGAACTGGGGGCCACGGGCCGGGGACGCCTGACTGGGATGCTCCTCGGCAACCGGCACAGCTCTGCGGGTGGGCAGCCGCAGGTGCCACCCAAAAATCACCTTGAGGGGCTTTAAGCGATGAAGCTGGAGATAACCGGAGCGGAGGCACGCTCGGCTCGGTGCGGTTTGCAGCACTGGCCAAAGAATTTATTTTTTAAACTTTAATGGCTGTAGTTAATCGTTTCCCACCACCTTCGACACCAGGAGGAGGGATGCTGAGATGTTATCTCTGAGCTGCTAACTGGAGATAGCACCGAGGATAAATAAATAAAGCCGGAGCCGCCATCCTCCTCCCGAGTGGTAGCAGAGAGCAGGCGGGGGGGAAGGTGCGTGCTTGGGGGGACCCCATCGGGGGCTGCGGGTGGTTGGGGTGCTGGGTTCTGCTCGCAGGCTTCCGCGACTTGTCTGGAACGTGTGCCATGCAGGATTAGCCCCCAGAGGGCTGGACACTGGTATTGGGTCCCTCTCCCAACAGCGGGGTCAGAAACTGGGGTTTTGGGACGTTAATGGCTTTGAGCAGTGGCTCTGCTCCCTCTCGGTGCCCTGCCACTTTGCGGGACCCAAACCTGAGCTGTCTAACAGCATGCGTGTCTGGGGCCGTGTCCCACGGCGTGTCACTGTGCCGGTGTGTCCGTCTGGCTTTCAGTGTTAAGGTTGAATTGAAGTTTGATTTTTCTTTTTTTGCCTCCTCACCTTAAACAGGGACCTCAAACTGTAATGTACAGAGATACAGCAGATCCGTGCCCCTCGAAATTACAGCCTGTGCTCTGAGGGCACGATGAATTTCCCTGTTAATTTAAAAGGTCTGTTCATTCTCCCCAGTTAAGATAAATTTGGAGATGTGTCCTTGAAAAGACAAGTCAAGAACATAATTTTTTCTTGCCTTCAACAGTCCTTCTGAAGTAAAATTTCTTACACCCAGAGCTTGCTGTAGTACTGCACACAGGCAACTTGTGACAAATTTTGGATGCCTTTTTCTCTGCTGTTCTTGTGGTAAGTGTTGTATTGTAAAGAATTTCCTGGAGAACTGGCCTCTCTGGTGATGGGAACTGCGGTCAGTCTTCCCCAGGATGGCCATCGCACGCTGTTGCTTGCGACACAGCTGTTTGGGGGGAAAAAAAGACTCAAAAGTGTGGTTAAGAGCTCAAAGAGCAGTGAGAGGGGTTTGGAAGGTGCGCACTCGGGGGGGTTATCTTCGCCGTTTTTGCTGCCTGGCCTCTTGGCTGGGAAACAGTCCTGCTTTTGGAGGAGGGGGGGACGCTAAGGGGGAAATGGTGGGGAGGGGAATTGGGGGGTAAAGAATGTAAAATGTGTGTGTAGGAGTGGGGTCGGAGGGAGCATCTCCCAAAAGCCCCGCACAGCCCTGCCGCTGCGTGCCGTGACGGGCTGCCTGCTTTGGCTGGTAGCTCGGACCTGCTCGGTGGTCACGTAGGAGTTAAGGAAAACGTTCCTGGGCTAAGGCAGAAGCTTCGGAAGCTGAGACCGAGTGTTCATGGAAGAAATTCAGCTTGTAATTTTATCCTTGAAACAAATAAAACAAGCATAAGCCTTCTTTCTGAATTTTCTGGGATGTGGAAGTGCCAGCAGGATGTGGTGCTGGGATATTCTCAGCTCCCTTGATTGCTTTATGGCCTCTCCCCTGCTTAAAAATCAGCTTGACCTAATCCCAGACAACCGTGCCGTCTGCGCAGGCTGGTGTCGCGTGGACCGGTCGGTTTGCAGGAGTTGGCCAAGGTTTTGGCCAAGGAGGTGTTCCTGGTATGGAGATGAGGGATGGATAGGAGCCTTCTCCTCCTGCTCCGGCATTGCAAGACATCTGCTTGACTTGTTTGTGGCTTCCTGTTTGGCATCTCCTGGGCAGGAGGGAGCTGGCAGGGGCTGGAGGAGGGAATTTGAGTCACTTGGGAGCCCTGTGCCAGAAAGCCCGTGACTCAGCCCAGCCGTGGAGAAAGGAGTGTGGGATCCGGGGTGGGAACCCGCGAGCGAGCGTGCAAGTGTTCACTTGCGCGGCTGCATTTCTGCGGGGAGGGAGGCGGGGGCTCCTTTGCATCTCCTGCTGCACGGCTCCTGGGATTGCGTCAGGGCTCTGGCCGTGGGTGGGGGAAGCCTTTATCGCTCCCAAGGCTTTGGAAGTGGTGTGCTGGCCGGTGGCCAGCTGACCTACTTGGTAGTGAAGCACGGCTCACCTGCCGGCAGTGCCAGGGATGGAGCCGGGCTCTGCCCTGCCAGCAGCACCGTGCGGCTTCCCACCCGCGCAGGCTCTTTGGGGGTTAAGTTTCCCACTCTTTGGTGAAGCTGCTGCATCGCCTTCCTCCAGAAATGGTGTCTTTTACAAAACTTTATTACTCCCCACAAGTCTGTGCAGCAAAGACACAGCTGCTCTGCCAGTGGTGCCAGGATTGGGATGATCCCGACCGTCTCCCTGTGCCTGATGATGCTCCGTGGCCACCGTGCTTCTCTGGGTACCAGCAGAGCTGGCGTGGTGGATGCAGAGCCGCAGCCTTGCAGGGAGGATGGCGCAGATAATCCACCTGAATTCAGCTCCCACATTCGGAGCGGTGACTGCACCCGCTGTGCCTTGCCTCCGCTCTGGGGCAAGGGCGGCGCTGGGGCTGCCCCCTCCAGCCCGTCAGGCTGGCACGAGGTGTAGCTGATGTCTGTCTGTCTGTCCTGGCTGTCCCTCCTGCTACTGCAGCTGGCACCCAGCTCCGGAGCCCTTGCCAAGGGCATCGGGGTGTGCGTGGGCCCCGGCTCTGCCTGCTGTCTCCCAGCCCGGGCGCTCGGCGTGCAGATGTGCCGGGGCTCCCGCAGCCAGAGGCCTGGAGCCTGGGCTGCTCAGCGCTGGTTTCGGCTCTGTGGCTTCTTGCTAGGACTTGTACCGGAGCTACGGAGCAGGTTGGTCTTGTGTGTTTGATCTTCCTGCCGTGGTGCCTGCAGCCTCAGCCGGTGCAGCCGGCTGAGGGGAGAGGGTGTCCTCGTGGCCCCATCCCCCTGCCCGACTGCGGGGTGGGATGGGGCAGGGACTGGTCATGTCTGGGAGCGGGAAGGGGAAGCTGTGGACGTGCAGCCTGCCAAAGCACTCGCTTCAGTTTTTGCCATGCCCAGATTACGTGAGGGAGTTGCAGCAGAGATAACTTTGCAGGAACATCCATTCCCACCTTATCTTCCATCAAGAACGTGTTACGTTGCCTGCATCAAAGTAGATGCTCTGCTGCTTCCCTCCTCGCTGCTCTAATCCTTTACTTCATGCTGAAAAGAAAAAGAATCAGAGTATTGCTCCACAATAATGAAATCTGAATGCTAATTATCAGCATATTGCCTTCCTTCCCTTAGCAATGCCCTGCCTTCCAGCCCCAAATAGCTTTCCTCCTTCCCTGCTCCTCTCCATCCAGTCCTCCCACGCTTCTGGGCACGCCGTTGAGCCTGGCCTGGTAGAAGTTGTCCTGCAGGATGCTTCCCTCCCTTCCATTTAAGGACAGGAATTCCTCGGGGAGCCAGGGCGTGGAAGGGCTCCCTCCCCACACCCCATTGTCAGGACTTCTCCCTATGCCTCATTATCTCCCGTCCCTGCAGGAAGCTCGTTGCCTGGCCGTGGGGTAGAGCTGCGGCATCTCCAGCCCACCCGCAGCCCGTTGCAGGAAGACTCCATTCCTTTTGGGTGCCAGGCTTGGGTCTGGGAAGGGTGCTCACCCTCGCCATGACAGGAGGGCTGGGGAGCAGGACTTGAACCAAGCGAGCCCCTCTTTTTGTTGGAGGGAGCCCGCACTGGCTCCTTGGCTGTGCAGTGATGGTGAAGGAACAGGAGAGCTTTATTTTGGTGTCAGAAAACATCTTGTGGAGAAAAAGCAGAGTTTAAGCATGAAATAAATCGTGTGAAAGCAGGGCTGGGGCGGGTTGCCTGCGCTCGAGTGTCTGGCTAACCTCTCGCCCTCTTCTCTTCCAGGTTCATGACTGGGAAGGGGCTGGTCATCTACCCGGAAATTGGGGATAAACTGGACATTATCTGCCCCAAGGCGGAGCCATCCAAGCCTTACGAGTACTACAAGCTGTACCTGGTGAAGAAGGACCAGGCAGATGCCTGCAGCACCGTCATGGACCCCAACGTGCTGGTGACGTGCAATCGGCCTGAGCAGGAGATCCGCTTCACCATCAAGTTCCAGGAGTTTAGCCCCAACTACATGGGCCTGGAGTTCAAGCGGCAGCAGGATTACTTCATCACATGTGAGTTGCCCTCCTCTTCCTCACCGCCAGCCACGGCTCTGGGGGGGCTGTGGGGGCCTGGAGAGTGTCACCAGACGCTTGTTCACGACTTGGCTGGTGCAAAGAGCTGACACGTACGGAAAATATTTCCCGCTGGAAGAGAGGAGGGGGAGGAATGTGTCACTGGCCGAGCGGGTCACTGGCCTGTGTCTGCCTGCTGTGCTGTGTCCCCTGCCCTGCCCGCAGCAGGAGCACGTCCTCGGCCAGGGTCAGCCCTGCAAGGAGGTGCAGCGTGTCTGGAGCACTGTCACAGCTGAAGCCTCTTTTTTGCTGCCATCTTTGCTGGAGGTGTTGCAGGACATTTCTGGAAGGGCTTTGCCTTGGGGCTGGGAGGCCTCTGGTGGGTCACTTGGGATCGGGAGGAATGGTGACTGAGGAGATGCACATCCTCCTTCCTGAGTGCTGTCTGCGAGAGCAGCCCCGGCAGTGGGAAGCTGCTGGCGATGCCCAGTGCTTGCTGTGGTCTAAGTGGCTGTAAAATTCTGCATGCTGGCCTGTTCCGCTTGTTTCTTGGTATAACATGGCTTTAGGGAGGGCAGAGGGAAGCAGGCCTGAGTTTTCTTGGAGCCCATGGTCTGTGTGTGCAGGAGACCACTGCACGGGGATGTATCTGCTTGCGCCGGCTCCGGGGTGGGTGGAGGCAGGGCTCTGGAGAACTTGGCTGTCCCCCGAGAGCCGGTCTGGTGGTGCTGGGCACAGCAATGCCTGCCACCTCGCTCTTCTCCTCGGCCGTGCTGTTTCTGCCTGGCTCGGCCATCGCGTGCGAACGGACAGCGGAGCAGCCGGCAAAGGGCAGGGTGGCCACGCGGCTCATCTCTCCCCTTGCCAGCGAGCAGCCCAGCGCAGAGGTCAGCCGTCTGTGTGGGAGGCAAGCACTGAGCCGTGGGAGCTGGCGCTTTCCAGTCGGTAAACAGTGTGTTTTTAGCCTGAAATCTTTGCCATCGGAGGGGGTGGCGAGGATGTTGCAGGTGGCTGGGGGTGCTCTGCCATAGCCCAGTGCCACGGTGATGCCAGCCTGGATTTCCACAGTGAACCCTAACCTGGGGCTGGAGCTGCCCGTAGTTTTGCTGGAGGATAGTTGGAGTGAACGTGATGCTGAGCAGACAGCCGGGATGGGCT